CATGTATTTTAACATAGCTGAAGGATCGTTAAAAATCTAGGCAAAAGCCAAAATACCGAGGACTGGGGATAGCATCTTGTGAAGCAGTGATTGCAAAACAGGGGATAGGGAATGAGGTCTGAAAACCTGCTTTGTATGAAATGGCTGACTGACCTCGAGCTTATTGATCAGAAGATGAGGAGGGAGGTTTATTTAGAGCTATAAATTCCTGTCAAATGAGACAAAACCTAAAATCTATAAACATGATGCCCTTCCACATATAGCACTGCTGCTGGGTGAGTGCCCCATTTTACGCTGCCTCAACTTTTCCTAACTTCCTGAAGTACTGCTCCATAAGGTCTCCAAGTGTCTGTTTCCGTCTTAAGCACCATGTCAGACTCGATCTCCAGAGGGAATTACTGTCAAGGTCCCAGCAAGCGGCTGGGTGGCTCCACCACCTACTGGAATTTGATCTCCTGGTCTCTCTCCTCCAGCTCTTTGCTGACCTTGCCAACACAAGTTCCCAGCAGTTCTCACTGCTTTTCCAGGTCTTGTGTCTTTTTTTCCTGGGATGCCATCTTCTGGTTTTCTCTGTTAAATCCCTTAATAACCTGACTGAGAGCAGTTTCACGCGTTTCTGTCTGCTTTTCCAGCATTCTCATGTGTTCCCAGTACAGCTTCATTTGTCCCTCCTACTCTGACAGGTTGGCAGTCACGAGTGAGAGACTGCTGCAAGGCTTTTGCCTGTACTGCCTCTTTCTGCAGCATCTGCATTTTCTCCCTCTGCATTTCCACTTCCTCATTTTTAATTTTTAAGGCAGACAGTGTTGTTTGCAGCTCTTGCTCGAGGCAGTATTCCTGCCTGTTGCTGTATTTGCGGGGGTTTCAGAGGCTGTCACTGATACCTGAAGAAGATTTTTCTCCTATGCCAGTGTTTCTTTAACTGCTTGCAGCCTGTCCTGTTCATGCTGCAAACCAGAAGAGAGGAAAAGGTTCAATAATTCCATCGATATGTGCTTGCTTTCCGTACTAGATTTGAGCTCCTACTCATGTGGCATTCATAGGCAGAAGTTTGAGCTCCTAGTGGGAAATGCAAGCTGTTCTGTTGGTTTTGCTGTTGAATGCCTATTTTCTGCTGTCAGTCCAAAAAAAGAAGCGAGAACTGCGCTGTACTTATCAAACTGTCCATAAGTGAGTTTTGGAGTCCCTGTAAATGGAGAAGTGGGAAAACACTGGTCATGTGAGGGCAGCTGCATGGCTTACATGTGTGGGCTAGTGTCCTGTATGTAACAGTGCCTGTGAGAGCACAGCCAGAGAAGAAAGCCTGAGAGGGGTAGGCTTGCATGATCCCTCCCCAGGCTCAGGATCCCCAGGATCCCTCCCTTTTCCAGCTGGTGAGAACTTCCAGAGCCTCCTCCTGACCCCATCTAGACCTGCTGTATTTACAACAGCCTCTGTCAGGGAGTTCAACAGGTCTGCTCTGCTGTGAGCATACCACCTGCTGGCACCTGCTTGCAGCACAGCTCTCGGTTCATCAGGCACCTCTTGGTCATGTCTAACCAGGATGCAGGCCGAGGCCCAGCTGTGACTGAAGCTACCACAAACTCCTAGTCATCTCCCAGTAAAATGGGTGGCATTTGAGTGAGTGAATCCCCCTACAGACTAGTCTGGGCAAAGGAAAGGGGTCTGAGCCCACTTTTCTGTACATGTTTGTTGCATTTCTTCATGAGCATCTGGAGTTTGGAAAAACCAATGTTTCCTGACAAGCCTGCTTTCCTTCCTGTGTCTTTAGACAAAGCCAGAATAAGAGCCTGTATGTGCAGCTCCAGCCTGTCCCTTACAGGGAAGAAACTTCTTCTCAGTGAGGGTGACGGAACACTGGAACAGGCTGCCCAGGGAGGTCGTGGAGTCTCCTTCCCTGGGGACATTCAAAACTCGCCTGGACACGTTCCTGTGTAACCTTATCTAGGTGTTCCTGCTCCGGCAGGGGGATTGGACTAGGTGATCTTTTGAGGTCCCTTCCGATCTCTAGCATACTGTGATACTGCGATACACCGCTTGTCCCTGTTCGACATGCATCAAAGGGGATAGCTGGCAGACTGAGGGTGTGCTGGCCCTGAGGAACTGCACGTGGCACCCACCGCTGCGCAAAGAGGAGTTAAAGAGCATCTCGAGCGTGTGCGGCGTCGGGGGAGCGAGCCCGCTTTCGACACAATAGCCCCTCAACTGCGTCGGGGCCGGTGCCTAGTGCAGCGCGTTCTATAGCGCGGCGTAACAGCGCCTCGGCAGAGCTGTGGGCGGCTCTGACAGCGGCAACACCGCAGCGAGCGATAAGCGAGAGAGTAGCGAGCAGCGACCCCAGGGTCAGTGTCCGAGCGCGCCCGGCTGCCGGTGCGGGCAGGAGGAGCCCCGCGTCGATGGCGGCCCAGGGCCAGGCCACGCAGCGGCGGCTGCAGAGCTTGGAGGAGGAGCAGCGCTGTGGAGACGAGGTGGTGCGGCACCCGACGGCGAAGGTGAGAGCGGGGGGCAGCCCAGGCACGCTGCTGGCCCCGCCGCTGCCGCCTGTGGAGCCGCCCGCTCCGCCTGTCCCGCACCTCCGCGCACACGCGGGGCTGCGAGCGCCGTCGTGCGGTACCGAGCAGGGGCTGGAAGCGCGGGAGGGGTCGAGCGGCGGCGAGGAGGGACCTGTGCAGGGGGGGAAATGGGCAGTGCTGGGGCGTGGGGAAAAGCTGCAGAAGGAGCCGTGTCTGGTACAAGCTCCCCCTCACTCCGTGTACCTATCCAGGTACTGAAGTACTGGAAGCAGTGCGAAGCGTTAGAGAAGCAGCTGGAAGTACGAGGGGTGAGCGTGCGGGCTGCCAACTAAAGACGGCAGGCCAGAAAAATCCCATCAAGGATCTTAGAATCCCAGAGTGGTTTGTGTTAGAAGGGACCTTAAAGCTCCTCCAGTTCCAACCCCTGCCACGAGCAGGGACCCTTCCACTAGAAGCCCTGTCCAAGCTTCTCTGGGCAACCTGCATCAGGGCCTCACCATGGTCACAGGGTAGAACTTCTTCCTAATGTCTAATCTAAATCTGCTCTCTGTCAGCGTGAAAGCGTGCTTTATTGCTGAAGCAGTAAAGCTTGACCCAGGTCTCAGGACAGGGCTACACTGCCTGTTCCGTTCTGTGGTTGTCTTTGGAGAAGAATGAGCTGGTTTCTTTCTAGCCTTCCCATTCTTGGTCTTGCACTGCCTTGCCAGTCTCATCAACTCTGTGCTCTGCTGTTTTTTCTCCTTGACCTCTGTAAGCGGCGAGGAGAAGCAGACAAGCCAACCCAATATGAGTGATAAGCAACTTCTCCTTTATTTGTGACGCAGTTCACACATATATAGGAGTGGTATTCAGCCACTCCTTCTTGGCACAACAGTATTGGTTAGCCCCCACAGCTTCCTCCACATTCTCCTCCCAGGTCCGGTCTCCGGCCACCTGTGGGGGCCACCCCCTGCCTTGCTTGCACAGTCCTCCAGAACTCTATGGTTCTGCTCTTAGAGTCATTCTGCAACAGACCTCCACCACATCATCAGACCTTTGGCCTTCTCTCTGCTTGCTTCTTCTCGCACGTATCTGGAGCCATCTTCCCTGCTCACTGCAGTGAAGAATGGCTCTAGATTGCTTGTTTATGCTCCTTCCCTGCCTATCGCTTGCAGGCCCTAGGAGAAAAGCTTTATGCCAAGGACACCATCAGCATGCTGCAGCACAAGTGCAGACAGCAGGAAGAGGAGTGCAAGAGGCTGCATCAAAGACTTGAGCAATTGGAGGAGGAATGCAGGTCATCCAGGGAGCAGCAGCACCTGCAGGCTCTGACAGATGCACCCAGAAGGTGAGTGTTTCCTCCTCTTCCTGTGTTCTAGAAGCAATCTGCTCCCAATTCTAAGAGTTCAGAGGTGTTACGGGCAAAGAAATCACCTGCCCTACCTCGTGTATGCCTGTTTGGCACTTTAGCATCCCTCTGTCACAGCTTTTCATGCTCTACTGTGAATGCTGAGGCAGGACCAGGAGATTCAGCGTGCTGTTGGAATACAAGAGTCCTCCCTCTCGACATGCTGATTCTCGGAGTGCTTGTTCTTTAGGTGCCCTTTCCTAGCCACTGCTTCTCAGTGAATGAAGGCAAATGCCTGCCTTCCTTACATCTTCCCTCTTCAGTTATCTTGTGAGGGGAAGAGGAAATTTTTCCTTACTGTGCTGCCCACAGCTCCATCCTGGCATGATGAAAATGGGATTCGTGACTGTTCAGGCCTCTTCATTCTTCTGACTAAGCCTTGTCTCTGCCGTGACTGTGCCAAGCTTAGGAAAATCAAGGATGACCTGCAGCAAAACCTTCTAATAATGGAACAGGCTCAGCTGCTAATGCCTCAGTTAGCTTGAAACTTTCCCTTTCCTTAGCCAGCTGAGCTGGTTTCTTTCTAGCTTTGCCATTCGCGTTCGCTGCCTTGCCAGTCTCCCCAGCTGTGTGCTCTGCTGCTTTTTCTCTTTCTCTGCTGACTAAGCCTTGTCTCTGCAGTGACTGTGCCAAGCTTAGGAAAATCAAGGAGGACCTACAGCAAAATCTAACACAGAAGCAAGAAACTTGCAGTCTGCCTCAGCATAAGACTGAACTGCAGCTGAAGGAAAAGGTGGAGCAGCAGCAGGCACTGGAGAGAGTGCATCGTGACCATGGGCACCTGTGAGTTTTAAAGCTTTCTCTGGGCAGGGCTGAGCACTGCTGGGCTTAAGGAGGCCCACCATAAAGATAACAACTTTGGCACGCTTATCATGAGTAGCATAGAAAGGTGAAGGGAGCACCTGGGCAGGTCTGGCTCCCTACTGACACACAGCACAGCTCCTGGCAAAGAGTGCTGCAGCTCTAATCAGAAAATTCCCACATTCTTTAAGTGTACATAGAAAGCTGTTGGAAATCATTCCAACTGCCGTATCTTGGACATAGCTTGTATCTTAGTTTTAGAAAGGAGAACGTTTTCACAGGAAAAACTTAATTGGAGAAATTGCTCCTTCACAGGAATCAGCTGATGCAGGACGATCATGAGCTTACGGAGGCACTGAAGAAGGTACAGTCACCTTATGGGAGAGGGAGATGTGACAGCCAGATCATCCCAGGTGCTGTTTCTGGCAGCTGAAGGCAGGGAAAATGTTCTTCTCCTTGAAAAATGGTGGTCAGAGCACACAGGCTCTTTGGGTAGTTGATCCCCACCACGTTGCGATTGGGAGAGCTGAACTGGGAGCACGTCAGAGACACACAGGGGATGCGGAGCTGCTCCTTGAAGTCGAGGATTTTCCTGTCCAAGCCAGACCTCCTACAGAGGATACAAGTCCCAGAGCTCTCTGGGTGGGCATTTGGCTGCTTGGCTCAGTGAAGCTGCATCTGATGGATTCTGCCGTGGTTTTGTCAAGGAGACGCTTGGTAGTGCTGGAGGTCGCAAGGCTTTGGTTACTTCTTGGAAACGTGTTGATGGCTTGCAGAGCCGTTGTGCACTTCTCTCAGTTGTCTTCTGTCCCAGGCAACCCAGTATGGCTTTACCCATCACTTTCACATTAATGGTGCCAGTGCCTTTTGCCAGCCCAGGGTATTAGAGCACTACTCAGCAGAGGCCCTGAAACTTTCAGCCCCCAGTACAGGAGTTATTACTCAGCCCACTGCTTCAGAAGTTGCACCGCTGCCTCTGCACACAACTGTATTTTGCTCTGTTTTCAGGTTTACCACCAGCAAGATTCGACCAAGCTTGATCTGGAGCAGCTGCTCCAAGAGTCCTCTGGCCAAGTGCACACTCTGGCCAGGATGTCCAGCAAGAAGGAATTGCTGGTGCGCAAGGTGGCTGCCCTAGAGGTGCAACTGTCAGCCTTGGAGCAGGACAGACAAGGCCTTTCAGAGCAGCTGACACAGGCCAGGTAAAGGCAGGGAGGAGACCCTAGGCAGGATGGTACTGAAGGTCTGTAATTACAGAGGTGGGAATCGTTACTTGAGGATTTATTGCATCCTGTGTGCTTTGCAGATATTTTCACCTTCCATGGACAGAAAATGGAAGAATCTTGAGAAAAAAAAAAAAAACATAAGCAAGGAGTACACTGTGATTTGAATGTTATTTTTCTGACAGCTACAGCTAACAAAAGTCTCCTGAGCCTTCGGCTCATGTTTATGCCCCCTTGCACATTCCTGTGTGAAGTCCAAAGCAAGCCAATATAATTCTTCAGTATCTGGTACCTTGGCTCTGCATTGAGTAATAACTCATCCATAGAGATCTTTACTGAAACCGGAAGCTTCTTTCTGGTTTTGGTTTCTTGGTTTGTGTGTTTGAACATAGACCTCTCCTTAGTAAGTCGTTCGACACAGGATGTTCAGAATTCAGGTCTAGAGGCTCATGCTGAAAATCTGGAGGGCACTTCTTACTGGAGTGACTTCCTGTGGGTGTCAGGAGCAAGAAACTCATTTCTCTCTGTATTCACAACTTGAAGGTCAGTGAACGAGACCCTGGAGAACAGCCTATCTGAGGCTCAGCGGCACATACTGCAGTTGGAGATCACCAAGAGCCAGCTGGAAATCCAACTTCAAACAGTCACACAGGCCAATGAACTGATACAAGGTGAGAGCCTCATGTGCTTTGCTTCCCTTGACCCCCGTGGCCAGCGGGCTTTCTGCAGTGCTTCTAAGTGAAGGAGCTGGAAAGAGTTCCCTCCTCCACTGACCTTCAAATGGCTTTAGGTTAGTAAGGCCAGAACCCCTTGCGTAGACTCTGAATCCTCCCATTTGTTGCGTTTGCAGGGGAAGTGAAGTGCCTTAGATGGAAGCTGGAAGCTGAGAGATATCTCATGCAGCAGGAAAGGAAGACCATGGCAGAACAGCTCTCGCAGGCAGAACAGCAGCATGACGAGACTCTCAAGCTTCTGGAAACTGATCACGAAGTGGAAGTAAACAAGCTCCTGCAAGCCCTGGTAGGAAACAATATGCTTCTGACTTCTTCAAGCAAGCTTTGTGGCTTGGCTTTAGAAGAGTAATAGCCTGAGCGTGAGAACTGGCAGCAGGCCCCTCTCATAGGCCACATCTTGCTAGGCCAGGCAGCAGAGCCAATGGCTTGTACTTGAAGGCACATGAAAAGTCATAGGACTATGCTGGAACAGTAAATGCAGCCACAGATTCAGTTCAACAAAAGGCTGGGTGGTCCCCAAGGCATGGTACCAAAGAAGTGGGATCTTACCAGACTCCTGCCTACCATGAAGAAGACTCCTAACAGTGCTGGGGACTGCAGCCAAGCAAACTTTGTTCCTTCCTTTCGTTCTTTCATGGCTGATAGAGGAAGTATCCTTGGGCTTGAAGTATATGGAACAGTCCCCTTGTTCCTGGTACTTTGTTTGTGGCCATGTCTTACGTCAGCGTTGCAAGGCGAAAACTAGTCCTGACTTCAAACACAAAATGACAGTCTGATGTGAGCATTATTCCTCCAAGAGGGCACAGTGGGCTTCTAGAGGATGGAACCATGAAAACACTGCACAGTAGAGATATTAAAAAAAAAAAAAGGCAGAAACCAAGTAGTGAAATGAAACGTCAGGCTTGTTCTCTCTTCCTTTCCCCCCTAATAGAGAGAACATCATCATGCCGTGCTTAAATCATGGTTAGTCTGCCCTTTAAGTCCTGGCTGTAGTCCTTGGTAGCTCATCCCCAAAAGAACAAACAAGAGCTAGAAGGGGTTCAGAGAAGGAAAGAAAGGAAGCTGGGCCTGGCTGAGTAAGCTGGGAAAGAATGAGAAGGGTGGCACAGGAAAGGTCTGCAGGATCCCGAGAGGCAGGGAGAGAGCAGGCAGCCCCTGACTGCCACCGGAGCAGGAGTTGAAATCTCGTATGAAAACCAAACACATACAGATGGAATTATTGAACCTTTTTCTCCCTGTTTTACAGCATGAACGGGACAGGCTGCAAGCAGCGAAGGCAAAAGCTTTGCAGGAGACTCTCACTTACATGATCACCATGCTGTCAGAGAGGGAGGGAGAAACGTTGTGCCAGGAACAGACAAGAACGCCGGAAAAGCAGAGAGAAATGCATGAAACTGCTCCCAGCCAGGTTATCAATGACGTAACGGATCAAAACCCGGAGTCACTACAAAAGCAAAACCAGGAAGCCGGAGAGGCCACGGAAATGCTGTTAAGGGCTCTCCGTGAGCATGTGGAACAGACCTTAAAAACCTTAAAAGAAAAGGACAGACTCCTAGCCATCCAAAGGCAACAAACAAGGAGCTATGAGGAGAAAACAGAAGAACAGATGAATGTCTTGCGCAAAGACTTAGAATACGCTAAGGCAGAACTGAAAGAAAAGGATTTTGTGATCGAATCTCAGAAGGAAGTGATTGAGACCTTCCAAAACCAAGAAAAAGACTCTGAACAGCACAAGAAAATTCTGCTTGAAGTGGCAGTTGAAGTGGCACTAAAGGAAAAAGATCAAGAAACTGTATCCCTTAGAAAGCAATGTGAGGCATGCAAGGAAAAGGAGAAGCAGCACGGAGCTGAGCAAGAAAAACTGCAAGCAACAGAACGGACTCTGAAAAAGAGAGAAAAGAAGATAAGGGCTCTGGAGGAGACTGTCTTGAAGCTTCAACAGCAAAAGAACGAGGCAGTGGTGATGATTAAAACCATACAGCAAAAACTACAACACACGGAGTCTTCTCTAGGCACCCGAGAGAAGGAGATAATGTCTTTACAAAGACATGTACAGGACCTTCAAAAGCAGAAGGAGTTAGCAGGCAAACAGGCCAGGACTCTAGAGCAGAATCTTGAGAAAATGAGACAAAGACTGAAGGAGAACAATTTGAAGTTCCTCAAGCAGACAGAGGAAAGTAACATGTCATCGCTGTGTGGTGATCTGCTTGAGAAAGTAGTGAAGAAGAGAGACACAGACAGGTTTCATCACCAGGTAGGCACTGTGACTGCTCATCAGTCAAGTAAAACATCTATAAAGGATTCTAATGATGTTTCCCGTCAAGAAACTTGAAGGCACATGAAAAGTCACAGGACTATGCTGGGACAGTAAATGCAGCCACAGATTCAGTTCAACAAAGGTTTGGATGGTCCCATCAAACTATGACCTGCTTGGCCAAAAGAGGCCACGACTGCAGCTAGCAGGCTTGCCTGTCTGCATAGCTCCGGCCAGAGCCCATTCACCTGCTAGAATGGTTTCTGTCAAGCCCACAGGTACTGAAAGAACTACAGAGCTTGTTGTTCAAATGAACTCAAGTCCAAAAGTTGGGGGTGGGTACTTGGCCCTCTCCTGTCTAAGCAACCTTGGCCAACATGTTGTGGTTAGGACTTGGCATGTGCCAAAAATGGTTGAAAGAAAATGCGTGTGGATTTCTCCAAGGTGATGTGGAGGAGGGCCCCTGGGAAGAGATTTTGTTGTGTTGGGCTGGAGGGGAAGAAGGGACTTAGCACGTTCTAACCTTTGTGTGGCACCAGCTCACGTAACCTCCTCTCTGAATACCCAGCAGGCTATTGCAGAAGGAGTGCAGCAATCGTGGCTCTTGGAGAAGAAGCTCCTGTTGCAACAGCTGGAAAGTTTGCAGCAAGAAGTTGCAAGGCTGAAACTTGCCAACACTGAGCTGAAGGAATTCAATGCTGAACTCAAGAAGTCTCTTGAGGAGGTGAAACAGGCTTTCCCTGCCCACGCTAAGCCTCACAGTCTTCTGGAGCACCACACGTCTCCACAGACAGCAGTTTGGGGTCCTCTGCTTGTTCCCTTCCCTATCCCGCTCTCCCCTCGGACACACCCTTTTGTGTTTTCCTTCTCTTCTGGCACCTCATTTGCCTTCACAAATGCACATTAACTCCAGTACCACCCTTCTTACCCTGCTGTCCCTATACACACATACTGGACTCTCAGGAGTCCAGTGTCAGGAAGTATTTCATCTTGCTCTTTCTTGTCCGTAGTCTACACTGAGTGCTTTTTGAGCCCAACATTTTCGCCCGAGAGGCCCTTTCGCTCGTTGTTTGGTGGCAGGTTTCTGTGACCCATTCTCCTAGAAACGTGCAGGTGGAATGTCAATGGAGGAAACTGATGAGGCTCCACTGTGATCAGTCTCTTCCAGGTGCAAGTGGATCTTCCTTCTCCAAGCCTCACCACACAAGACGCCTGCTTCTAGGTGAGAACAGAGGCTTAGTTGGTGGGAGGAGGCTCTGACACATCCCAGGGGCAGCAGCCCCCCAGTACAGACCTACTAGAAGTTGAATACAGACCTAGTATAAGTCAAATATAGACCATGGTCCTGGCCAAACTGGAGACCAAAAAGAAATCCTTGTGTTTTCTTTACAGGAGGAGTCCTATGCACGCTGCAGGCATCAATGACCTGACTTGCAGAACCAGGGGAGGAGCCAGAAAGCTCTCACTTCCTGAGCAGCTGTAGCACCACATGGTTCCTGTCCTCTATCCTTCCCAGAATCATCGTCTTTTACTGCTGTGGGACAGAGGGGTGGATTTGTTCTCTTGACATTTAGAAGTAGTTTACATGTGGGCAGGGACTCCCGACTTTCCTTTTTTGTTTCTTAATAGAAGACATTCTGCAGTCATTCAGTATGGAGAAGCAAGTGGTTTTCCTTCCTGCCCTTTTTTATAGAGGGGTGCCTCGCTGGCCAGTCTCCAGTCCTTTGGGACCTGCCCACTGGACCAGGACTGCTGACAGATGATGGAGAGTGGCTTGGCAAGCTCCTCTGCCAGCTCCCGTGGGTACTCCTGACCCACAGATTTGTGTACATCTAAGAGGAGCAGGAGGTCGCTAACCATTTCTTCCTGCGTTATGGGGACTCCAGTCAGCTCTTCATCACTGCCATCCGGCTCAGGGAAGCGAGTACCCTGAGGATGGCTGGTGTGACTATTAAGCCTGAGGCAAAGGCAGCATTAACCACCACAGCCTTTCTCCCATCCTCAGTCACTAGGTTGCCCCTAGTATCCAATAGAGAATGGAGGTTCTCCTTGGCCCTCCTTTCATTGCTAATGTATTTGTAAAAGTACTTTTCATTAGCTTTTATGGCAGTGGCCAGATTTAGTTTCCATCTGTGCCTTTCTACTTTTCTCCCTACAGACCTAACAACATCCCTGTACTTCTCCTGGGGTGACAGTCCCTTCTTCCACAGGGGATAAAGCCTCTTCTTCCCTGAGTTCCAGCAACATCTCCCTGTTGAGCCAGGCTTGTTTCTCCCCCGCTGGTTGATTTGTGGCACATAGGGACCGCCTGCTCCTATGCCTTGAGGCTTTAAGTCTTGAAGAGGATCCAGCCTTCCTGGACCCCTTTGTCCTTCAGTAATGTTTCCCAAGGTATTCTGCCAGCCAGCGCCCTGAACAGGCTGTCGTTGTTTAAACCCTAGCCAGACAGCTTGTTCGCTCACTCCCAGTGAGTGGTGCCGGGGTGGAAGCAAGTGAGGCCCACTGCCGCCCCCCCCCCCCCCCCCCCCCCCCCCTCCCCGGGGCTCTCCCCTTCCCTGCTCCCGGAGGAACGGGGAGGAGGATCAAAAGAGTGCAACTCCCACGGGTTGAGACAAGAACAGTCCAGCAACCCATGTACAACACAAATCACCACCGCTACCGCCACCGACAACAATGGGAAGAGAAAATAACAAGGGAAGAGAATACAATACCACCCGCTGAGAAACGAGTCCCACCCAGAAGACCCCGTGTCCTTCCGGGTAACTCCCAGTTACACCCTGGGCATGACGAGCTGTGGTATGGAATAGCTCTTTGGCTAGTCTGGGTCAGGCATCCCATCTCTGCTTCCTCCCGCCTTCCCCTCCTCCCTGGCAGAGCATGAGCCTCACAAAGTCCTTGGTCAGGGTAAACATCACTTAGCAACAACCAAAAACATCGGTATTATCAGCACTGTTCCCAGG